CGGGCTGTGGTGAAACGACTGCAATAACCACGGTTTGGGTGGTTCTGCGGGTTCTTGTCTGGGCTGTTTGAAGTCCCTGGGTGGGTAACGCTACCAGTGTGGAGTCCCCAGGGAGCTCCCCGCAACCCGCGCTCCGGGCTCAGTCTCTCCATCCCTTACAGCGAGCAGCTGATGCAGCTGTACAGCGCCCGACAGCGCCGGCGTCTCAATCGGGGTCTGCGCCGCAAGCAGCACTCCTTGCTGAAGCGCCTGCGTAAGGCCAAGAAGGAGGCACCGCCCATGGAGAAGCCGGAGGTGGTGAAGACCCACTTGCGGGACATGATCATCCTCCCCGAGATGGTGGGCAGCATGGTCGGTGTGTACAACGGCAAGACCTTCAACCAGGTGGAGATCAAGGTGAGATGTCAGGCAGCATCCTCATCGCTGGGTCCTCGTCCCAGCCGAGCACCCTAAATGCAACTGTGTTAATTTATTTAACGCTTTGTTTAATCGTATTCCTGCCCTCTGTCTGAGGAGGAGGTTGAGGCTCCTGCTTGGAGTGAAGCTGGCCTGGAGGGACACCCAAAAGCGTCCGTCCTGAGGATGGGCTGCTTGCAGAGGGGTCTCGAGGCCTCATGAGGCTTCAGCGTGGTTTTGAAGTAACAAAATCACGTGGCTGTTGTGAGTGTGTGTGTGCTGCTGCGGCAGGAGGGCTGGGGACATGCGCTGGCTGCGCTTTACCCTGGCTCCTTGCCCGCTGGAGCCAGTTTCTGATGAAACAGATCCCTGAGGCTTCTGGGGTTTGGAATAACCTGCAGGGTGGTGTGACCTGATATCGGTGGCAGGATTAAATGGCATTTTCTGCTTGTACCTGGCATTAAATCCCACCTGAGAGCTCACCAAAAAGCCCCCAAGGCCTGTGTGTCCCCTCTCCCGGGAGGCGCTCCCCAAGGCCTGTGTGTGCCCTCTCCCGGGAGGCGCAGTGCTGGCCGGGGGCTCTTGGGGGGCAGAGGGAGCCCCTTGTCCCACTGAACCCCTCTTCCTCCACAGGAAGCTGGCAGCAGCCGTTGCCTGCGGGCCCGGGCCACCGCAGGAGGAGCCCAGGCACGGCAGCGATGCCGCCGGCAGCCCCTGCTCTGCGCGCAGCATTGCCAGAACAGCTGGCTGTGCCAGGACTTCTGCCAGCGTAGGGACAAGGGTTGTAACCGTCCGAGATCCACCGCGGCTGCGAGGGGGTGGTCTGTGCCCCTGGCCCGGGGTCCTCCCTCCAACGCGGATCTCTCCTTTCTCTTCCAGCCCGAAATGATCGGTCACTACCTGGGGGAATTCTCCATCACGTACAAGCCGGTGAAGCACGGCCGGCCTGGCATCGGTGCCACCCACTCCTCCAGGTTCATCCCTCTGCAGGAAAGC